TGTGTTACTTCCGTTAAGCATAACCTAACCTCACCTTACCCAAAACCTAACACTCACACTGGCCCTAATCCTAATCCTAACTTTAACCTCAATCCCAAAACCTAATCCTAACCTTCACTCTGGCCCCAATCCTAATCCTAACCTCAACTTCAACCCAAAACCTAATCCTTACCCTGGCCCTAATCCTAACACTTACCTTAACCCAAAACCTAATCCTAACCTTCACCCTGGGCCTAATCCTAACACTAACCTTAACCCAAAACCTAATCCTAACTCTTACCCTGGCCCTAACCCTAACCCTAACCCTAACCTTAACTCCAACCCAAAACCTAATCCTAACTCTCACCCTGGGCCTAATCCTAACACTAACCTTAACCCAAAACCTAATCCTAACCCTTACCCTGGCCCTAATCCTAACCCTAACCTTAACCTCAACCCAAAACCTAATCCTAACTCTCACCCTGGGCCTATCCTATTCCCTACCTTAAACCAAAACCTAATTCTAATACTCACTCTGTCCCTAATCCTAACCTTAACCTCAACCCCAAACCTAATCCTAACCCTCACCCTGGCCCTAATCCTAACACTAACCTTAACCCAAAACCTAATCCTAATCCCTCACTTTGTCCCTAATCCTAACCCTAACTCTAACCAAAAACCTAATCCTAACCTTCACTTTGGCCCTAATCCTAACCCAACTCTAACCCAAAACCTAATCCTAACCTTAACCTTAATCAAAACCTAATCCAGTTAAAGTCAGAATGGTGTCAGTGTGTCTGTAACAGCTTGTTGAGGACGTTGAGATGGTCTATATTAAACCTGTTAGATGTTCAGAAAAACTACTGAATTCAGCAGATTGTAAATTGTATTTACTCAGTTAAAAAAGTCTCTTGATAATCTACTGAAAGTATTCACTGCTGCTACATCAATGATATGACGTTGAAATGTTACTGAGAATGTGTGGCTAAAAGCCCGGAGTGTTAATTTCATCTGAAAAGGACAATCAAAATAAAGAGTCACCCAGACTTGTATTGATATCACTGTGTTTACATTTAAAATTGTACGTGTTTGGATACTGTAGACCAGAGATGTCAAACTCACCCCACTAAAAGGGCCATATCAAAAAAATCTCAACAAATCTGTGGGCCAGAGAAAAAAAAAGTTTTTATTTCAATTTTAATTAATATTTTGCGATACGCCAAACTGACCATTGTTTATTCAAAATACACAAAAACCTCAGCAGTAAAATACAGACACTTGGAGTAGACCTTGAAATATTACATGAAAACTTGAAATATTTAAATGTCCCCAGGAGCTCAGTCTTTTAAACCTACCTATTTACTTGAACTAGACACCTGACGTTGTTTCTTTGCTGCAAACTTATTAACACTTGGGCTCAGTTTCTGAGCTGCTGAGCTAATGTTAGGTGTTTATATTGGCTGAACTGCAATTAGTGTGTTTGGTGATATGACAGGTGTGTAACTGTATAGAATTGTGTAAAGCTGACATATAACTGCTGTCCCTTAGATTGTTGTTGGGGTAGGAGAGTCGGAGCACACATTACATGGCAGTGCATGCTGGGGACTGTAGTGTAGTGCACTGTGAAATGAGCTAATGTTAATAGAAAATTAAAATCCGGATAGGATTGTGTCGCGGGCCTGATCTGGCCCATGGGCCTTGTGTTTGACACATGGGCTACAGACTTTGTGTTTTCTGTAGCGCGCACCCCCCAGGCTGATAAGGAAAGCTCCGCCCCTGAGATTCTGCCGGTGTGGCCAGAGCGTCTGAAGCTGATACTATATCCAGACCAATCAGAGACCTCTGATTAGCAGCGAAGGCAGTTCAGTCAGTAATTACAATGCCTGACCGAGTCACTTACAGAGACTTTTGTTCGGTGCCCACTGACATCGTCCACTTGGTCCAAATGATCCGAAAGAATGAAAGAGAATGAAACAATAGCAAAACTTTCAGGACGGCTGTACGAAGTCTGTCTCATCAGTTCTGTCATTCCTGTATCTCACGCTCTGTACACTTTGATCCCCGAGACAAGTGAGCCTCGACATGATGTTCTCCCTCTTGGCTGTACTGTAGATGACATACTAGCCGAGAAGATTTCAGCATCATTGCATCATCTTACTGGCTGATTTACAACTGTTTCATGTCGGATCCTGTTGGTGTTTGACATCAGTTTTCTTTAAATGCTCTGGAACACGTTTTTCAGTGTGTGTTTGTCGTGTTCTGCTCGTGGGTTCTGCTCGCTCTCTCTCCCTCTTTTTCTCTCTCTCACTCTTCCTCTTTCTATCTCTCACTCTTTCTTTCCCTTTCTCTCCTTCTATATTCCTCTCTCGCTCCTTTCTCCCTATCTTGCACTTTCTTTCACTCTCTTTTTCTCTTTCTCAGCTTTTTTCTGTTTCTCACTCTTTTCTTTCTCTCTCTCTCATTGCTGCTGTCTTTCTCTCTTCTCTCATTCTTTATTTTCTGTCTCTGTCTTTTTTTCTTTCTTTATTTCCCTTTTTCCTCTCTGTTTCTCTCTCCCTCTTTCTTCCTTTCGCACTTTCTGTTTTGCTCTCTCTGTTACTCTCTTTAATCTTTCTTCCTCTCTTTTTTCTCCTTCCCTTTTGTCTCTTTTTCCACCACTTTCTCTTTCTATCTCTCTCTTTTTGACTCTATCCCTCTTTCTGTCTTCTTTCCCTCCCTTGCTCTCTCTCTCTCTCTGTCCTTTCCATCTCTTGTCATTCTCTTTCACTCACTGTCTCTCCTTTCTCACTCTTCTTTCTCTTCTCTTTCTCTATCCGTTTCTCTCGCTTTCTCTCTATATGTCTTTCTTTCCCTCTATCTCTGTTTATGTATTCCCTCTCTTGCTCTTTCTCTCTCTGTTTCCCCTCTTTTTTCTGTCCCACTATTTATTCTCTCTATGTTTCTCTATCTGTTTGTTTCTCCTCTCTTTCTCTCTCTCTCACTCTTTTCCCTCTTTCTATTTCTATCTGTCTCTCCTCTCGGTGTCCTTTCTATCTCTCATCTTTCTCTTTCACTCACTCTCCCTTTTATCTCTTCTCTTTCTCTATCCCTCTTCCTCTCTGTCTCTCTGTCTCTCTCTCTCTCTGTCTGTCATGGACACAGACACACAGACACACACACACACACACACACACACACACACACATGCTAATGTTCACATACTCAGCTGCAGCCATTTCAGGCGTAAAGTGCAGTTTGGTAGCGTGTCGGGTTTATCTGTTTACCAGCTCCTGTGGGGCAGAGCTGCACAGCAAAATTGGATTCAGCGCTATCAAAAAAGCAGAGAGAGAGAGAGAGAGAGAGAGAGAAGGAAAGAGAATGTGTGAGCGAGAGTAAGGGATAAAAATGTAAGCAAGAGAGAGAGAAAGAGGGAGATTGCGAGAGAGAGAGACAGAGGCAGAAAGAGAGAGATGTAGAGTGAGTCTGCAGTTGGGTAAGAGCACAGTCTACCCTGACTGCTGCTGTCTGGTGCTTCCACTGGTTTTAATGATGGTCCACTGGATTGTCATGTATTGTCTATGAACTGTGTGAAGAGCGGTGTGAGAGAGAGAGCATCCATCAGAGTGCAGCGAGGGAGAAAGGCTGCCTCTTCCCTACGGCCTGGCAGGCAGTGAATCTGTCTGGCTATTGGGGCTGAATGACATTGAGAGAGTCTTTTTTCTTGCGATAAATATTACAATATTTGAGAAATGATAAAGGAGTCAAACATTTACCCAGATAAACTTTTCCCCAATGGAGCTTATTATCACTCGATTAAAGCAGTGGAATGAAACGGGATGTGTTTAGAGGGGAATTAGGGCAGGAGTTCAGTATTTTGGTAAGAGCTGCACAAACATGAACCAAATACCATATAATAGTTATAGTGCTACCCATTGCAATTGCAAAATACCGATATACTGAAAGCACTTTAGAGAACCGTTAATGTGATAAGACTGGTCTGCATTTTTTTAATCAAAATTATACAGGTGTGTGCAAACGTTTTGCCACCCCTGGTCAAATTACATGTTATAATTATACATAAAATGTGACCTGTACAAAAGTTACAACACATTTTATATTTAATTTATTTATTTTACCAACATGTTAAATTATACTAAATATATGTTAAACCCAGCAAAGAAATTATACTAAAATTTGCTGACAAATACCATATTTAGGTGTGTTTGCAGCATACAGCTTGGGTTAAATGTAATTTCACCAATGGAATACAACTTCTTTGCTTGGAATACAACTTCTTTGCTTCTTTTCTGTAACAAAAGTAAACTTAATTTTTTATCCACACCGTCAATAATGTAATAAGGAACAGTCTCAAAATCCTCTGAGATAGACTGATATTTAGTCTGTGGCCTGATTTTCCAAAATATTAGCTATAATAAGGTGTCAGGTGTAAGGTGGTTATAATGATATTTGCTGTCCAGTATTTCAGAAAACAACAACAATTAAATCAGCACTTCCCAGTCCCAGTCCTAGAGACCCTGTGCTCAAACATACCTGTTGTAGCTCATAAAGAGCCTGAAGAGTACTTCTAGAGTTGAATCACGAGTGTTGGAGCTACAGCTGTTCAGTTTTACCTGTTGACTAGTTGACTGCTTATTAAAAAAGTAGTATTGTGTAGCAAAATATTTTGGCATTTATTCCTCAATGTTGCGAAAAATCTGAAATATGTTAGGCTTTGTGTTTAGCAGGAAAGTGATATCTGGAACCTCCTCCTGCATGCTGACTACTGCTTCTTGCTCACTCTGGAAAGTCTTATCAGTTAGCTGGTTAGTCTGATTAGTTGTAGGAGCAGGGGAAATACTAAATTATTCAGGACTAAGGTTGAGCACTGGATTAGTTTATGAAACATGGGAACAAGTTAGCAGTCCATTGGGCCTTAAGGTCAGGGAATGGCGAACCACCAGCTGATTAGAAAGTGGCTCATTGAAGGACACTCTAGGTGGGTTGAATGTCTCAGTGATGTGTGGACTTTTGAATTGTTCTAGAGCTGTCTTTGAGACCTGATCTGTCTAACTGCCACTCCTCCATGGGCTGCCCGACCCTGCCAGGCTCTCCAGGGATGAAGATCTACATCGACCCCTTCACCTATGAGGACCCCAATGAGGCCGTCCGAGAATTCGCCAAGGAGATTGACGTCTCTACCGTCAAAATCGAGGAGGTCATCGGAGCGGGTGAGTTGGCATGTGTGTATGTGAGGGTAAGGATGGTGGTATGTACACTCGGATTTACACGGATTTGCAGTTGTAGGTCCTTCTATTATGCAGAGGGTTTAGAATTTTAGGTTCTTTACACTCCCTCATCTCATTTATAGAATGGTTCTTTAAAGACTCATCTATTCATTGCTTCAAGGAGCGTTTTATTTTTTAACAGTGCGTGCAGGACTGGTGTGGGGGCAGAGTGGAAGCTGCATAAGTAGTACTGTTCTTAAGCCTTATTCTAGCTGGTCAGTGTTGTTATTGTTATTAAGTTTTGCGTTTGTCCTGTGATGTAAACTGGATAATGCGGTATTAATTTGGGGAAATTGTACTTTATATTGTACAATTTAGCCAGTCAAATCCCCTTCATATTATGTTACAAGGAGCCCACCCCCACCCAAGTTAAAATGAAACCAGTTTAAATAGTACTTTAGTTTATCCCAGTCAGAGAAATTTATGTGACTTATATACTTACTTTCTAAGATTTACGTGCATGTGTGTGTTTGCGTTCACATGCAAAGGCACATGAATTTGAATGCATGTACTACTGTCACACGTGAGTAAACTGGAGCATAACAGCATTTCAGTGTGCATCAGTGTGCATCAGTGTGCGTGTGTACACACATGCAGACATGTGCATATGTACCCCTTGCGTGTCTTGTGCGCCTACATGCACAACCATATAGGCCATCTGTCCCCTCATGTAAAGAGTCACCTAAATAACCATGACACAGAATCTCTGCTCAGAGGTCAGAGATGCCCTCATCAACCACCTAGCCCTTGTGACTCAAGCGCTTTTGTCCTGCTGTCCAGTCAGCCTGGGGAGAATGTTAGCAAAGATGTCACTGAAATAAAGCAGGGCCTCTAGGCACTGTTTGACATGTGCTTGTCCTGAAAGTGAATGGAAATAGGGATAATCGTAGAGTTTGCAGACAGAGCTTGGGTGTTTGTGGCCCAGAGGTGGACTGGGTACAAAAATGTTTGTCCGAAATCAAATAAATATATCACCCAATTTATCAGTCTTTATTTATTGTAAAGAAATCATAATTGGTCAATCTGGTTATACTGTGGTCTGCATGGAATGCGCTAATTCACTTTCAGTAACAGTAGCATTGCAGGTAGCTGTGAAGGGAAGTTATCTTATTCTAGCAAACTGTTGTTAGCTACTCTGCACAGCTAGCTAACATTAGCTCATCCTAGATACCTCCTTTTGTTACAACATTTAGCTGGCTAACTAACTTGCTAGGTATGTTCATTTCTTTACAGCAGTTAGCCAAACTAGCTAATGTTAGCTCTTGCTAAGTGGATATCAGTTTGTTAAAACACCTATCTAGGTAGCTAACTTGCCAGGTAGGTACAGTTTCCCTACAGTAGCTATCCAGGCTAACTAATGTTAGCTCATCTTAGGTGGATATCAGTTTAATAAAATACATATCTAGGTAGCTAACTTGCTAGGTAGATACATTTTCTCTGCAGTAGCTAACAAAGTTAGCTAATGTCAGCTTATTTTAAGTAGATATCAGTTGGGTAAACACCTAGCTATGTAGCTAACTTGCAAGGTAATTCATTTTCTCTACAGTAGTTAGCCAAGCTAGCTAATGTTAGCTCTTGCTAAGTGGACATCAGTTTGTTAAACACCTATCTAGGTAGCTAACTTGCTAGATAGGTACGTTTTCCCTACAGTAGCTAACAAAAATAGCTAATGTTGGCTCATCTTAAGTGGATATTAGTGTGCTAAAACACCTTGCTATGTAGCTAACTTGCTAGGTAGGTTTGTTTCCTCTACAGTAGATATCTAAGCTAGTTAGCTCTTCCAAAGTGGATCCTTCAATGTGTTAAAACACCCAACTTGCTTACTTGGAAGCAAAGTATGTTTCCTCTAGAGTAGCTAACCAAATGGCCGGCTTGAAGCCAAAATAACCAAAACATTGCAAAACTGCCTAAGCCACGTGTTCTGTAGCAAACCCAGTGACCTGGTTTGAGCCACAATATCAAAAACATTGACAGACTGTCTTGCCCACATAGACTAAAAATGGAAAGGCCTACAGGAAATATTCTCAAACTTCCCGGAGGACAATCCGCACCAGTACACTTGCACTGAACAGCGGTCTCTGGTTTCAAACGTATGCCCTAAATTAGTTTTGTCATGAAAATCCCATTGTAATCATCTGCCCCCAGCATTGTGGCATGATAAATTTAATACCAGACTGGAACTGTTTGTTCTAGATTGTTTGGTTCCACCAGCGGAAATATGGCTTTAGTCACTCTATGCTAACTCCCTGTGGAGGAAACTCGAACTCAGTCCTGCACTTCATAGGGAAGCAACACACTCCAGTACAGGCTTTCGCTCTCAAAGCGGCAAATAGATTTAAAGTGCAAAAGGACTCTGAATTGCTCCACTTTGCTCTTTTCTTTCTTGTTTGTTACTTTTTGAAATCATAAACATGTTGTAATTGATGAAGGTCCCGGCCACTTTAAGAGGGTTAAGTGCCTGTTTTAATAGTTTTTTATCCATGCGGAACGGCAGGGTGTAGGTCACGCACTAAAAGGATTGTGGATCGGTTGCTTATTTTGCAGTCCTGAAAGGGCACATGTTACTGAGCACAGCAGCAGAAAAGCACAGATTTACATGGAGTGCTGTTCTGACCGAGCTGCACGGCTGAACTGCGTAGCCCGAAAAGTCACGTGGTGTGTTTTTCTGTATGTGTGAGGAAGGTCAGCTTGATGCATTGTCATTTTGCACGCTTAACTGTTCACTGATACTGTTTTTAAATTTTAAGAGCTTCTAATAGTAACGTGCATGAAATAGATAATGTCAGTTTTAATCATTTTTTAACGATTTTAATGAGTTTTCTTTGTTATAGTTTCAATCTGAAACAGCTAAAACTAACAGACCAGCTTCTAATATAATAACAAAAGTAGGTTTTGGGTAATAACTAGATGCATTATAGTTGTATACAAAAGTTCGGGCGCCCTGGTCAAATTTCACGTTTTGTTGACATGAAAATAAGTTAACACGTCCTCTGCAAAGACACACTTCTATACATTTTGATACACGGTTACTGTTTATTTGCTGAATTTTACATTTTGAAAACATAAAATAACATAACATTTGGCCTGTGCAAAAGTTATGGCACCTTTTAGATTTTGTGTTTTTTTTCCCCAATACATTAAACTCAGCAAATAATTAGAAATTGTGCACTTAAATATTCAGAAAGTGTCATAGTTAGGTTTGTTCTCTGTAGAGGATATGTTAACTTATTTTCAAAATCAAAAACCAGGGTGCTCAGACTTTTGCAAATGAGTGTATGTACTTTGATTTTGGCTATTGAACTCAGAGCTAGTTCTGTTTCAGCTTTTCGTTGCTGAAACCTAAAAACTTCTACATGCCATGAATAATATGTCATTATATCTGTTAGGGCTGCACAATATGGACAAAATAATAGTATTATTGTATTATATTGCTATATGAAACATACACTGATGAATCAATAATGTGACATGGTCAGAGACTGGTGTGCATTATTTTGACCAAAACATTTGACTTTTGTTGGATTACATGAACACCTAGATTTGTATGTGCTCGCTCTTCCCCTCAGGTGAATTCGGGGAGGTGTATAAGGGCCGTCTGAAGCTGCCAGGTAAGCGAGAGATCTACGTGGCCATCAAGACTCTCAAGGCGGGCTACTCGGAGAAGCAGAGACGGGACTTCCTGTCCGAGGCGTCAATTATGGGCCAGTTCGACCACCCCAACATCATCCGCCTGGAGGGCGTGGTCACCAAAAGCCGGCCAGTCATGATCGTCACAGAGTTCATGGAGAACGGAGCGCTGGACTCTTTTCTCAGGGTAAGTCAGTGGATATTACAAAAACATCTCCTAGAAAAAATGCATTTACAACATTTTCTAATATAAGGTGATTCTTATAGTTAGATCTAGATCAGGTTACCCCATTTAGGAAACTGGAGTTAAAGAGAATGGTTGGAATATAAACATCATATAACTTTAAAGAACCTTCTTTTTAAGGGTTTATCCGGAAAGGAAATTGTCATATTTAATAGTGAATTGCAATCAGAAAATGGCTAATTAATATTACTATTATAATTGTTCCTGTTGCTCTGGTTAGGCCTGTTATTATCATTGTGTGCTTCCACATGATGGAGAATTTGTTGTACAGAACAGTGCAAAAGTCACCTTTTATTTATTTAATATCCAGTCGAAATAACTATTCATTCTATTCACTCTGTTTGTCCTTGTGCCGCCTGTCGTGACTCTAAAAATGTCTTCTTCCATGATGGAGGATAACAAGCACAGCTGGTGCACAGAGTAGTGGTCTGTGAAGTCATGATACTATGGAGCCCAATAAACACTGACACTTCATGGATATAGAGATTTTTCTCACCATAGTATCTGGTGCTCACCTGATAGCATCAGGTGCTTACCACATAGTATTGGGTACTCACCTGATAGTATCTGGTGCACACCAGATTTTTACCTAAAAATATGTGTATATACACCACGTTCCTTTCACCAAATAAAAATAAATACACCATGTCCTTCTGTAAAAAGTGGAGTTTAAAATATACACAGAAAATGTGTACACTAAACTGCTTTTCCTTGGACTTTTTCTGGACACTCTTTTTGGCCCCCATGTATGTGTTTGGATGCACAAAAACTTACTAAACTGCTATAATTGCAACATTGTCTAATATAATTTTAATCTTGCATTAGTTTGCTCATTGGTGAAATGATACCCAGTTTGATTGGAATATGAATGTTGTACACCAAATTGCTTTTACTTGGACATTTACTTGACTCACTTTGTGGTGAGATGGTGTGCATCCATATACATGAGGAATGCACAGTGGAAACTTCAGTCTTTTAAGCTAAATTTACTGCTTTTATGATTAGTCCTCTGATGCACTTTCACAGAGAGTGTTAATGAAATGAGGAGAGTAATGCCATGTCATCACCACCTCAGCTCTCAACCTTGCCTCAGTTATATGATTCACTGTTTTGCCACTGCCAAGTATCTGGCCTGTGATAGACTTCTGAGGTTTATATAGCAGTGGGCGCTAGTACTGCTGTACAGTGTCATCTGTTAATTGTTATCACATTATTGGCCTTTGCAACACTGATATGATAGTGATTATGCAGAAGGTTGAGGTATGCAAATGAGACATTTAACAAATCCTTTTTTTGTGTGTGTACTGTGAGCATCCTGACCAGTGACAGTTCCAAATAAGTGTTTCTGTAGGTGTTTTGATGGATCAAGACAATCATGTGATCCAACCAACACTGATCATTTTTAATGAGAAATAATAATCATTGCAGGCTGGTTTTAAACCACATCACAGTGTAAACCCAAATTGGCGTCCTGTAACTTGGTGAGATATATATCTTATAGTGATCTGTGTCCTCTGAATCAATATTCAGCACAGGCTCAGTTTTTCTGCTTATGCCAGTTATTATACAGACATATTTAATATAATAAGTGAACAAAAAATAAAAATTTCTGATTTTTTGTCACAGAGAAAAAAGGGCTGCATTCATGACATGGATCTTTAAAAACATGTCATGAGCATGTTGGCCATGATGTGTTCTGTTGATGTATTGCTAAGCATACACTCTTAACAAACATGGTTCTTCGAGGGTTCTTTAGTAAAGAAAATGGTTCTATACAGAGTCCTGAACACTGAAAAAAACATTTGCATGATTAAAGGGTTCTTCAGATTGTTGGAGAATGTGCTATACATGGTTCTACATAGAACCTTTTTGAAAAGGGTTCTATATAGCACCTAAGGGGTTCTTCTATTGTTATGATGTCAAGCTTGTTACAGTAGTACAACTCTTTTTGGTACTATATAGAACCCTTTTCAAAAAGGTTCTATACAGAACCATCTGTAGCACATTCTCCATCAATCTGAAGAACCATTTCATGATGCAAAGAACCATTTACGCATGCAAAAGGTTTTTTGGGTGTTCATGGTTCTAAATAGGACCATTTTCTTTACTAAAGAACCCTTTTTGGTGCTATCTAGAACCTATTTTTAAAAAGCTTATGTATAGAACCATCTATAGCACATTCTCCATCAATCATGATGTAGAGAACCATTTATGCATGCAAAGGGTTCTTTGAGTGTTCATGGTTCTAAATAGAACCATTTTCTTTACTAAAGAACCGTTTCTGGTGCTATATAGAACCCTTTCCAAAAAGGCTCTATATAGAACCACCTATAGCACGTTCTTCGTCAATCAGGATGCAGAGAACGATTTACACATGCAAAGTGTTCTTTGAGGTCTCCTGATTCTAAATAGACCCATTTTCTTTACTAAAGAACCCTAGAAGAACCATCATTGTATAGTGTGTATCACTGTCGTGATGTGCAGCAGTATAACTGTAATATGGTATTTTGTCTATATTACGCAGCTATACTGGGCACTAGCTCTTGCGTGGGGTGGAACGGGGGGCTACACTGCTTAATCAATGTTCAGCCCATTTTTTCCTCCAATCTCATGGATTGGTTTTCCCTCCACTTTGATCTGGCGCCGCTCTTTGAAGTCGGCTTTGCAAGCCGCCGCGTCGGACTACCGTCGCCATCGATCTCGCGCTGCCCCCGTGTTTGTTAGCATGTGCATTGCGGTTCAAAGCTTTCTACTCCCACGAGCTTCGCGCCGCGGATGCTGAGGTGGAGGGAAGTTTAGTTTAGCTTCGCTTTTTTATGTACAAGAATGAGATCACCTGCTGCTTTAATTTACCTGTTTATTTATTTTTTCTTTTTTTCACTAAAAGACATTTCAAACATGGCTGTAAGTGGCAGGGCTTTAGATAAGAAGCGTGCTCTGAAATCAAATGAAATGTGAAAGGAATTGACAGATTAAAATCAATGCGTGAAAGAGGCAGGCCCTGCTCTGATTGCTTCTTGGCTGCGGCAGAAGGCTGTTTGTGCAGTTGGGCTCCGAGCACATTGTGTCTGAGTGTCTCTTTATTTAACATCAAATCACAGCATGCGCAGAGCATTAATCACAGGAAGTGGGCTGAGAGCTCTCAGAAGTCGCAAACTCGAAACCCAGCGACTGGCCTGTGCACCTTTTTCCAGAGTTTTCGTTTTATCTGTACTGAACATTGTGAACTGGATGCCTAATGGTCAGAACATTTATGCAGTTTGCTTAAAGCCCCTGTCTTCTCATTTTTACCATTTTCTTCTAATTATTGCTTTTGGGATGTTTTTATTATGAACTGGCAGAGAAAGAATGATGCTGATTTTGAGAGGTTTTCGTCATTTCGATTTGAGTTGGCCAAGACTAAATTCGGCACAGGTGACGTCAGATCTGCCAAAGTACCAGTCAGATTTAGCCATGTACACCTATCAGGCATAACATTATGACCACCTCCTTGTTTCTACGCTCATTGTCCATTTTATCAGCTCCACTTACTATATAGGTGCACTTTGTAGTTCTACAATTACAGACTGTAGTCCATCTGTTTCTCTGCATACTTTGTTAGCCCCCTTTTACCCTGTTCCTTAGTGGCCAGGGTGGTGGATCATTTTCAGCACTGCAGTAACACTGACGTGGTGGTGGTGTGTTAGTGTGTGTTGTGCTGGTCTGAGTGGATCAGACACAACAGTGCTGCTGGAGTTTTTAAACACTTGTCAGTCCACTTGTAGATGTAAAGTCAGAGACGATAGCTCATCTGCTGTTTGTGTTGCAGTTTGTGTTGGTCATCCTCTAGTCCTTCATCAGTGGTCACAGGATGCTGCCCACAGGACGCTATTGGCTGGATATTTTTGGTTGGTGGACTATTCTCAGTCCAGCAGTGACACTGAGTTGTTTAAAAACTCCAGCAGCACTGCTGTGTCTGATCCACTCATATCAGCACAACACACACTAACACACCACCACCACATCAGTGCTGAGAATGATCCATGTCTGCTCTGTGGAGGTCCTGTGGGCGTCCTGACTATTGAAGAACAGGATAAAAGGGGGCTAACAAAGTATGCAGAGAAACAGATGGATTTAATTGTAGTAATTGTAGAGCTACAAAGTGCTGCTATGTTGTAAGAGGAGCTGAAAAATGGATAAAGAGTGTAGAAAGATGTGGTTTTGATGTTATGCCTGATTGGTGTATATGCAACAGTGTAGATTTTCCAACTCACCCTAAATGCAGTCACTCAGCCAAAACATGTTTGGTGTATAAAGTTTGTTTTTAGTTTTGCACTGGAGCGACAAGCTAACAAGTAATGGAAGCTTATACTGCACCAATTAGCATTGTGTAAACTGTACGCTTAAATCATCATGTATTTACCTCGAACCATGTTGAGCTTGAGTTAACGAGCTTACGTTGAGCTGAGTTAAGTAATCTTAAATAGATTACGCTTATATATTAATCAGCCTACACGTGGTTTGAATGTGAAGAGCTGTAACCATTAAATGTTTGGAAATGTTCCTGACAAACTGAGGTACACCAAAAGCTAAATTAGTACTACAGAAAAAAGTAGCTCTTTTTAAGCTGCTCATAATTTTGAGCTATTAAGTAATAAGCAGCAGCTAAATAAGTGATATAATAATAAATATGCAGATTAACATTCTAGCTCTTCAGGCTGCAGAATCAACTAACCAGTTTAACATTTTAATGTGATAGTTCATTAGACGAGCTGTGATCCAGGTTTCCAGGTGGCATTTTTTTTTTTTTCATTTGAAAACTATTTTTACAAAATTAGTTGTATTTTGAGATACTTAAGCCATTGTACATAGTTACTTAGCTGATGTATGTAACACTGTAACAGGACGAGCTGCTGAATACTTTTTTGAAGTAGCTGTTAAACACTTCTAATTAACAGAAACTGATACAGCTTAGAATATTCCAGTGACTAATGTTATTACTCTGACATGAGGGGTTTTAATGATGTTTGTAAGCATCATGTTAGCTCATTCTGACAAATTACTTAGTGTGAACTGTGCATTCTCAGTAGTTTTGTTTGTCAGCGTGGGTTTCCTCCGGGTACAGTCCAAAATATAGTATATGTCTGTTTGTCTGCCCTGCGATGGACTGGCGACCTGTCCAGGGTGTATCCTGCCTTCCGCCCGATGACAACTGGGATAGGCTCCAGCACCCCACCGCGACCCAGGATAAGCGGTTTAGATGATGGATGGATGGATGGATGGATGGAGTATTCCTTGAAGTTATTATGCAGTATATGACACTCTGTTTCTGTGTCTGTTTCCCTGGCAGCAAAATGATGGTCAGTTCACAGTGATCCAGCTGGTGGGAATGATGCGGGGTATCGCCGCGGGGATGAAGTACCTGTCCGAGATGAACTACGTCCACCGGGACCTGGCCGCCCGCAACATCTTGGTCAATAGCAACCTGGTGTGCAAGGTGTCCGACTTCGGCCTGTCCCGCTACCTGCAGGAGGACACGTCTGACCCCACCTACACCAGCTCTCTGGTAAGACAGCACTGAGCATGCTTTGACTGTGGATGAGTCTTAGTGAAGGGCTAATGACTGCTTTTGGCAAGGTTGTAATCATTTCTTCTTGTTAAGAGCTTTTTCTTGTTACTTGCCACTGCCATTAGCTCTGTAACTCTCTTTATATATGTGTAAGTCGATTTGGACCATTTCTGTTGGTTCATTCATCATGAAATTATGACACAATGTAAAAGAAAGCTTGTATTTTCAAATTATGTAAAAAAACAAAAAGTAAGATGACAAAGCTTTCTACAGGATTTCGGAGTGTGTCTGTGGGAATTTTTGCCCCAGAAGAGCATCTGTGAGGTCAGACATTGATGTTGGAAAAGAGGATCTGGCTCACAATCTCTGTTCTAGTTCATCCCAAATGTGTTTGATGGGGTTGAGCTCAGTACTCTGTGTGGGTCAGTCAAATTCTTCCACACCAAACTCACCCAGCCAGGCATTTATGGACCTTGCTTTGTGCACTGGGGCTCAGTCATGCTGGAACAGAAAAGGTTCTTCCCCAAACTGTTCCCACAAAGTTGCAAGCATACAGTTGTCCAAAATGATTTGGTCTGCTGAAGCATTAAGATTTCCCTTCATTGGAACTAAGAGGTCTAAGCCAGTCCCTGAAGAACAACCCCACAGCATCATCCCTCCTCCACCAAACTGTAAAGTTGGCACAACGCAGTCAGGCAGGTAACGTTCTCCTGGCCACCAGACTGCTGGATAGGGAAGCGTGATTCGTCACTCCACAGAATGTGTTTCCACTGCTCCAGAGTCCAGTGGCGGCGTGTTTCACACCACTCCATCTGACGCTTGGATTTGTGCTTGCTGATGTAAGGCTTGTATGCAGCTGCCATGGAAACTCTTGCCATTAAGCTCCTGGCACACAGTTTTTGTGCTGATGTTAAAGCCAGAGGAGGTTTGGAACTCTGCAGCGTTGGAGACTTTTATACACTATGCGTCTCAGCACTCAGCAACCCACTCTGTAACTTTACGTGGTCTGACACTTTGTGTCTGAGTTGCTGTGTTTCCTAAATGCCTTCACGTTTCAATAATACCACTCACAGTCGATTGTGGAATATCTTGGAGGGAAGAAATTTCACGAACTGACTTGTTGCAACAGTGGCATCCTATTACAGAACCACGCTCAAATTCAGTGAGCTCTTTAGAACGACCCTTTCACAAATGTGTATACGTGTGTGTGTGTGTGTGTGTGTGTGTGTGTGTGTGTGTGTATATATATATATATACGCAATTTTATTCATGCTTGTAAATAAAAGTGTTACACATAAAAGCAATAATAAAGAGAATATACTAGATAAAATCAGCTTTCAATGGAGCAAAACTTATCTGCCAATAAGAACACTTCACATAAAATAAACTATGACAGTATGTACACTCCTAAAAAAGATGGTTCTTCAAATGTTCTGTAGTAAAGACAGTGGTTCTATATAGAACCATGAACACTCAAAGAACCATTTAAGCACGATAATGATAATGAAAAAGGTTTTTGAGAATGGTTCTATATAGCACCAAAACGTTTTCTGCTGATGTTACAATACCAAACTTGTAACAATAGAAGAATCATTTTAGGTGTTATGTAGAAACCTTGAAGAACATGTTTTTAAGAGTGCAGCCTATGTTATGTGCCACGAAATCCATCGTCCTCAACGATGAGGTCAATGGTTGTTCATTCAAGGCAGTGACTTGTTAAGTGTTGCATTTTGACACTTTCTTGTAGTACTATTTAATCTTCTTTTTTTGGCCAAAGTTCTCCACTTCTTTTTCTCTTTCACCTAATCACTTTTGACCATTTACAACTGAATCTTTTATGTTTTTATATTTTCCCCCAATTCAGTTGTGGCCAGTTGCCACTTGCTAACCTGATATCCCCCATCACATAAAGCTACCAAGCTGGGAGGATGAAGGCTACAACCTGCTACCTCTAAGACATTATAAGCTTCATTGCATCCTTTGAAACTGACACTAACATTATGTCATTGAAGCTCAACAGCACTTGGTGGCCAAACTGCCAATTCTGTTACGTCAACTAACATACCCAGAGAGAGCGAGGCCACTTAAGCTTTCTTGGGCTCAGTTAGTGCCAACGCTTAGACAGATGTGCCTCTTGGGAGTCCCACATTTTCCTTTTTAAAGTTTTTAAAAGTCTCATTTCACAATATCTTGTCACTCCTTCTTTGACCAGTGCATTGGCTTCACCGATGAGATGTCGCCTTATGTGCGACAAGCCCCATTTCAATTCACAGCGGGTTCAATCAAAGCCTGCTGAACGGACTCCTAATCAGCCTTGCGCAGTGTTTCAGATTCTGGAAACTTCTATTCTGTGTTGCTAGTGGACAAGCTGGGCATTGTTAGTGCTTACTCGCTGTAGAACTGTACTTCTAATGCCAAATGAGGTTTCTCGCTTCCATCTGCTCAGCACTCTGGGAAATTTTCAGATGCCAGAGCCTCATTGAAGTTGAAAGTCAAACCATAATAATGTGACTTTATTGACAATTCATTCTCTCGTTAGGCCTTATTTGGTGCTGTCCGAGTTTATTCGGTCGGGCAGGCGGTGAGGCCTACCCATGCATGTTTAATTTTGCTTTCATAAGGTCCACTAAGCCTCCATGGTGAGCCACAGCTCTAGCCTCAGGGCAGATTTTTTATCGAGCTGGTTTTAAATTCACATCTCTCACTTTGGGCAAAGTGTCCCCCACCTGGCAGCGTAAGCACACGTTGTCGCTTGTCTCTGTGCACCATCAGACACAGGAGGAGGTGTTTAACCTTTTGAAGCCACAGTTACTGTCGCCAAAAGCATATTGTAATTTTGTATTAAGTATCTCTCACTCTTAACTCGTTGAAATGCAAGTGCGGATTCTAAGCTTTCAGTCGATACCACGTTTGTGTTTATTAGTAGAAAAGGAGATATTTTATTATGAGTTGGATTTGAGGAAAACTTATTACTGTGTGTACAGTCTTGTTCTGACTGTACTTTACATTTGTTGCCACATTTGCCATATTTTGTCATTAAAACAAACCAAAAAATCTCAGAGGTACTGGCTTAAATCTGTCATTACAGCACATAAATTCAACATTAAAGAAGGTAATTATTTACATCACTCACTGTGGCTACATTCACACAGTAGGTAAAAATGTCCCAAATCTAAACAAATCCGATTTTTTTTTTGTTTGGCTGTTCACAACATCTTTTAAATGTGACCTGTATGCGACATTAGTCTGAACAGATCACGCTCCTAAACTGACCCGCGTGTGCAAAAGAACAGTGCGTCATGCGGCTCATGCAGGGGTCAACAATCACTACTGCCAGTGAACGCCAGTCACTCAAGGAGGGTTCAGCTTCATCTTCACCAGCATCACAGGAGCGATCATGAAGCTTCTTTGACTGACAGCTTGACTATCACCCAGAATGTGTTCGAGCTCGCTGTTAAAAGGGCGCGGTCACTTCTTTGGTTCGTGTCCTCGGATTCTTTAAACTTTACTTTCACACTTTTAGCTTTTCTTTGGCGCTGCAGCCTCGTTCTCGTACGCCCACGTTCTGACATTTCTTTCAAAATCTCTTCGAACACGGAGCAGTTTGGATACGTCTCTTCTACATGTTTGGTATAGAAACATCAGCCTAAATGTTTGAGACCTCAGCAGCATGAAATTATGACGAATTGTAGTACCACATATGAAAGCGTCTGAAATTGGAATTGAAAATGTCAGATTTAATGTGTTTTTTTGCTGTTTACACTGATGCACCGGTAACACACCTGTATCAAGAAAAAGATCAGATTTGGGCCACTTTTACCTGCTGTGTGAACAAAGCCTATTTTATACCATATATAATAGTGTAATTAAATTTAAGTCTGCAAAAATCTCACTCACGCTGTCCCTGAGGAAGTCTAAACCAACCTGATGAATTACACAAAACTACAGCTCTGTTGTCTCTAAAAGGAGGTGTAAAGTAAAGGCCTAAAAGTGAACCCTCCAGAGCAGAGGAAACCCAAAACCGCCCCTTACAGGCTGCTGATTGTGTGGAAGATGTAAGAGGAGTGTGAAGAGGGGGTGTGATATTGGAGAGATGTTCTATTTCCTGGGAGAATGAGATAATTACCCCCTGGGTAGAATATTACCCTGGTCAGCTTTTTCACCCCTGGTAGGGGTAGACTGACTTCAATCTACTAGTTCTACGAGCTCAGCAATATGGCAATTGATTATATTTTATCATCACAGTTTTATTCTAACTATATACACACCAGTGAAGAGGTCCCAGGGCCTTTGTTACACCTTCCATTCTTTATAGGAGACTTTCATTTTTTTAAAGAAATCTGCAGATGAATAGAGGAACAGGTGGATGGCTGAATGGAAGAATGGATGGATGAATGGGTAGATGCATGAAAAGGTGAGTGGATGGAGGGAGGGATGGAGGGAGGGATGGATGGGTGGGTGGGTGGATGTAATAAAAGATAAGTGCATGAATGGATGGATTTTTTTCCATATCTCCAAAGTTCAGTCTTAGAAGTTGGTTGCATTTTCTGCTTCTCGTGATCCAAATAATCTCATTCAACACATTCAGTGATGTTGAGGTCTGGACTCCAACAGCGTCTTTTAATGAGTGTGTTTACGTGCGTCTAGTAATCCAATCATAATCGGAAATAAGCGAGCAGCGTTGCCAAGAGATGCAGCGAAACACTTTTGGAGCGAAGCTGAAACCAACTGCATACTTGACAAAATGAAGGATTTAAATATTCTACATCTTCTAGATGATGTATGTTCATATTTTCAGATAAATATGTTAATCGGATTACTGACAAAATCTGATTTTCTGCAGTTACCGGATTATTAAGTGCATGTAAACAAACTCACTGATTTGCAAACTTTGTGCTTTTCTCAGTAAGAGCTTCTTGACAGCTACACATCCTTTCAGACCCATAGTGTTGAGTTGTCTTCTCACAGTGGAAGGATGGACAGAAAACATCTGTGTT